AGTTACAATAGAATTAAATAAAAATAACAGATGGTTTGATATTCGTTTAGATTTATATTGTTGAGTTTGGAACTTAAAAAACAATAAAAACTTATAATTCATTTTTTTGAAGTATATTGACTTATATTAGACTCAAAATGAGACAGAATTTTATTAGTCAAAAATACAAATCAAAAAATTATTAAAATAACTTTTTGTTTTTAAAAACATATTAATCAATTTTGTATACTATAAGGAAATATAAATCAAGGAAATATAAATAGGTTTATCAAGACAAAAATATTCCGTGTGGAAGTGGAAGTTGGCGCAGTGTGAACATTGTAAACGACCAACAAAAATTGAAAAATTATTTGTCAAGAGAGCAGGACTTGATGAATTGTATGTTGACCTCTTACTCACCTTCTCCATCCCAAGGTCACCAAGGTCAGGTCACACCAAGAACGTTTTTCTGCTTATCGTGTAGCATTCCGCTTACAACTACGTTTATTGTTTTTTCAGTGAATTTTTTTTGGGAATATCATTTTACTTTAAAGAATGGCTGGTTATATCAACGTTTTTTGTCAAAATATTTCATACAGCAAAAACATTTGTGACGTTCTATGATTTGTTTCACATATTTTTGATAGTCTGCTATAAGTTTTTATTGTACTATAACTGTTTGATAATTTTTATCATCGCCGGCTTTCAACAAAAAATGTTTGTTAATATTTTTATTTATTATCAAACGTTCTTTTTGATTTGTCAAGTAAGTGATTTTTTTTGACGCAGTAAATCTTGGTGAAAATGAACTCGCTTGACTGTTGAACATAATTAAATAACAATAAAAATTTCTGTGATAGAGGAATTGATAAGTTGTGATATGTAATGTAGTAATGGATCAACCGATAAATTGGAGTGATGTAAAGAGGAATGTTTGAAGAAGATGGTGATGCTGAATGGAAAGTATGGAAAGCACTGCGCATGTGCATACGTGCAATAAAGCATGAACCCGCAAACTGCTGCAACTATAAACTAACCCGCAATGCTCAAACCATAAATTACGTTTTGCAACAATAAGAGCATAAACATAACGACATAGTGGCAGTGGCAGCAGCAGCATCGACAACGTCGACACGACAATAAACATCGCAAAAGTTCAATAGAATAAAAAACAGGAGCACCATCAGACACAAATTGGCAACTACGGACAAACCAACATCTAAGCAAACCTGGAACTTCAAAGGAAGACCAATGAAAGTCTAAATAATAGCAAGACAAAATATAAATAAAATTACTGATTTTTCATCAAACGCAAACAAATAATTTTTTCTCGTCTTATGTTGTTAGAAAGAATCTTTTTTCAATCGCAATTAATAAGACCTGACCTGAGGTTAGTTAGTACATCACAAACACGTTCGATGACTTCCTACTCAAGTATGCAGCCAATCCACGCTGTATGGCTGGCACTCAGCACCTGGAAATAAATGAACTTTTGGACGTAACCAACATATGAACATACCAGCCATCAATTGATTATCAAATCTTTATTATTCTCATGAATTTTTTATAATGTATTTTTATGTGGCGGACGGTCATTGGATGGTCATTGGATGGTTATTAGATGATAACTGGATGGTTATCAGATGATAACTGGATGGTTATTAGATGATAATTGGATGGTCATTGAGGCAATAAATAATCCATCGACAGAAATAAATGAAAATAAACAAAAGTTTGTACATGGTGGAGGTAGTCACGTGATCAGTTCAGTGGATTTACGAGGCTGGTTATAAATTGTGGGGATGGATGGATGGATGGATGGGTGGATGGATGGATGGAGGGATGGAGGGATGGATGGATGGATGGATGGATGGATGGATAGATGGATGGATGGACGGATGGATGGATGAATAGAGAGATGTATGGATGAAGTTATGGATGGATGAATGGATATACAGATTGATAGATTAATGAAAGAATGGATAGGTAAATGAAAAGATTTAGAGGTAACGGAAAGGAAAAGTTTGTCAAAAGTTTAACATCGAACCATCTCATTAAACGAAATAAAATAATTTACGATGATGATGATAATGATGATGATGATGATGATGATGATGATGGTATTGATAATGGTGATAATAATGATGATGATAACAATAATAATAATAATTAATTTTTTATAAGAAGTTTATTTATTCTCAATTTGCTACTTTCACTCAAAAATGATTTGTAATTTTACGTGTTGCCTGTTGGTTGACTAACTTTCAAATCTCAAATCAATTACCAGTATCCAAGTATCCAAGACATCAGTTAATTTCAATGTCTACAATTCTTTAAAATTCTGAAAAGAGATCATTTAGAAAGTTTTCTAGCAATATAATGAAGAGAAAAGTTTGAAACCTTTCCTTGCCTTCTGTTAAAACTTCATTGCCAAAAATAAACAACCGAATGTCAAAACATGATGAACACCAATACGTGCGATGTTTGCTGACTCGATGACGGCTCGTACATGAAAATTTTTTCCCCGTTTAAATTTCTTCCAAGCGAAAACAATTGATGAGTGAGTTGAGTCACAATCATTGCCACATTGACTGTGGCAATGATTGTGACGATGACAATGATAATAATTGTAAGTATAATGTTTATAATATATCCAAAAACATTTATTTCATAATTAAATAATATTTAATTTTAATTTAAAAAAATCTCCGTGGTTCAAGATGTCAGAAAAAATTTATAAGCACAGAAAGTTATCAAAAGTTCGCAAAGGCAAACACATCCATCATTAATGCATTCAAATGTTGCTGGGTCTGTCATCTCGTGACAAAATCTTTCTTCTATTTAAAGTAATTAAATTTGTATCTTGTACAAAATTTAACTGAAAAAAGTTAAAAATTGAACAAAAACAATTTACGCGAGAAATATAAATATTTATTCATTCACAGACAACAATGGTGCTTCTCGAAATAGCAACTCTCGTTTTTGTTCTTAATGTTTCAGGATTTTCGTTATCACAAACAGGATTTGTAGATATGTGATTGGTTTGGCTGTCAACAAAATAAAACAAAAGCCTATTGTTTAAATAATTATTTTGTAAAAATACTAATTTAGGATCTAATTGTGACTAAATATTAAACAAATATTAAATATAAATAAATCAAAAATAACGCATACTAAATTCGCGTTTAGCATTGTAATCATTACAGTGCAATCATTTTCTACAGACCAATGAATAAATGTAGGTAAACCCGTGTTAAAGAGGCATAAAATATTTCTGCAAGCATTTGTAACCATCAATTATGTATGTAATTTAATTATTTAACTCTGAACTAACTGTGCGTGAGTTGGTGTTGATTGTAACAGTTGAAAAATATTATGTAAGAGCAAGTACGCACGTGAATGGATGTGCCTGCGTGTATACTTTATAACGTGTTTATACTGCATACATGAACTCAGATTATGGAAATGGAAAACCTGAATGACATTGAACTTTTAATTTCAACTAGGATAGACTATCACTACACATTTATCGATTTTACATAACTATGAAATTTTTTTGCTTAAACATTCTTACTCCAATATTTAATTTCCGTTATCACTCTATTCTATTGTTTTGTATGTTGTCACAGTTTCTGCGTTGGTCAGATTCTGATTTATTAAAGAATAATGAAAAAAATTTGTTGTTGAATTCATTTAAAGATGCGAGATTCGTTTGTATGTTCGTACTCTTGGCATAAATTTTTTATAAGAGCAGATTATTTTAATTTGATTCAAATTTAATCTCGTTGTTGTTGTCAATATTCTTTCAAGAAACACACTTTAGGACTTAATTTGAACTGCGTGAAACGATCCTCGGCCATTTACATTAACTTGGAGCAGAACGAACGGCATTGCAATATCTGATTATATTTTACGAGATTTTCGAAGACAATGATTCTATCAATCTTAATTATTGAGTGTTTTATTTATTTATTATTAAATAATGTTGTTTATAAGATTAGCGATATTGATAACTGATGATGCCAACAATATTTCTGTTTTGTGGGTGTCGATATAATGTTATAATACTCGCTGTCGTAACCGATTTACGATGCGACGGGTTCAAATCTTCGATTGAATAAAATACTCCAAACAGTTATTAGTTATTAAACTTTATTTACAGAAGAAATCAACTAATCGTTTATTTCTAGCAAATTCAAATTAACACAACAATTAACTTTTAAATTGTTCAAAATCTATCGCTATGACAACGTCAACAAAACAAATCAAATATCGCTTTAAATAATTCACCAAATCGCTATTCACAAAATCACAGTCACGAATTTACAAAATCACGAATTTCACTAATCGCTAATCTTCTTGCGACGTGTGCTTATATACTCTTCGCAAGCGTCGTTTCTAGATTCTTCTAGATGGTCCGATTCTAGCATACTCTAGAATGCTCCAGTCACTAGAACATTCTAGAATACGCTAGAATGTAGTGCGTTCGGTAGCACGGTTATAACAATATTATGAAAGGTCAGCGCGGAGAAGTTAGGTTGAATGGGGATGGTGATGTTTGAAGCAGACATCTGACACGTACAATCTAATCACACTTTCTTTGGTCGGTGCTTCACAAATTTAGCGTTCGCAAAAATCCAGTATGCATTAGCCTTTTACATTAGGTGAGTTCAACATTTGTAATAATTTTTTGGTTAATTTTTCATAATTTTTAGCAAAATATTATTTGTAATTAGTTTGTAGTTTTAGATGCCATGTTGTTAGTTGTTACGAAACATTCCTTTGCATGGAGACAAGAAGTTGGTTGTCAAGTTAGTCAACTAGGTGGAAAATCAACTCCATTTGGAAAAAGTTATCTCATTTTTATCTATGTTTTTTTGTTTTTTATAATTTCAATAAAATCTTTGTTTATTAACCCAGATTTTGAATGCTTTTTGACACCTCGCAATTTTTGACTAAGCGGTTGGCGGTTTGAAAAAGTTTTGTTAATTAAATTTTATCAATAGTCGATTATTTTTAATTTATAATGTTGAAAGCATGTGTAACTGCAGAGATATGAAAAATTTATAGCATCTATTTGTGGACGTATGGATGGGTATGAATGTATCGATAATGCCAGTCAAGTTCAATTCTGGTTGAAAAATTACAAAAAATTTCGCGAGTTTGCATGGCAATCAATCTTACTTGGCCATGAAAAAACATTTGCAAGTTAATCTTAACATCACGTTTACTTTTATTATTTTGTTAGAAAATCTAGAAAATGGATTTCCGTGAAAATGAAGGCATGTATGTTTTGGTTGGTTGGTTGATTGGCTGGTTGGTTGGTTGGCTGGTTGGTTGGTTGTTGTTGTTGTTGCCCCATTCTGGGGGACCCCTAGGGTTCCAATCGAGGCCGGAGCCAAACCGCCACTGCAATTGGGTTTCTCCAGAGGTCTATTGTTTGTAGTTTTGTGGTGTTTTGTGGACAGCTAAATAGATGCGGTACATCATCTGTATGATTGTTGCAGAAAGGACAGATGTTGAGGTGCTCACTGTCAATTCTGTTTTTGTAGCTGTTTAGAAGAATACTATGGCCAGAACGGAGTTGGGCTAGGGTTCGTCTGATTTCCCTGAGAAGTGATTCTTCTGTTGAATCTATTTTTGGTGTAGGTGGAGGCCATCCGTCAAGCAACAACAACGGCGACTGATACGTCTCTGTGGCGGCTTTGATGGTGTTATTGTGAAGTGTTTTTAGAGCGGATTTCAGAGAATCGCTATTTATAGTTGTTGGTAGAACCGCATGGGTTGTTAAAGCCCATTTGGAGAGGAGGGTGGTCTTTATGTTGCGGTGCGGGTGTTGTTGTGTGATGATATGATGGCACGGGTAGCTAGGGTTATGGCATAGGAGTAGGAATTGTGATGCTATTAGCTCCGAATGCTGCCTTACCGTTAACATCTGACATTCTGGATGAAGGTGCCGTTCTGAAGCGATCACACGGCAACCTGTAATCAGACGCAGGGCGGCATTCTGGGAGCGTTGAAGACGTGAGAAGCTTGAGTCTGATGTCAATGATGCCCAGGCAGAACAGGCATACTCGATTGTTGAACGACCGATGGTTTTGTAGGTCTGTAAAAGAGTTTCCTTGTCCTGGCCATAGGTTGTACCACTTAGTGCCTTTAAAACATTATTCTTTATTGAGGCCTTGGATGCTGTTTTTTCATGGTGTTGTGAGAAGTACAGCATCGTGTCTAACGTGAGGCCTAATATTTTTGGATTATGTTCGAGTGATAATAAACTGTTATTTATTTTTATTGCTGGATGATAGTGATACTGTGAAATGTGAGTGGTGAAGAGGGTGACTGTGGACTTGGAGGTGGAAATCTCCAAGTTTCTGCTATTGAAGAAGTCGTAAAGCTTCGGAAGGTAGCAATTGAGCCGAAGTGTCAAATCATCTGCATTCGGACCTGTAGTGTAGATTGAAAAATTGTCTGCATAAGAGATAACTTTGACGTCTGGAGGCGGGCTTGGTATTTTGGAGACGTAGTAGTTTAACAGAGTTGGTGACAATACAGAACGTTGAGGCACTTCTGAGCGGATGGTTCGTTGTTTTGAAAATTGTCGACGGAATTCTGTTGATGCAGAGCGTCCATGCAGATAGTTTGACAACCAGCGGACAATTGACCGTGGAAGCAATAATGACATGAGGTCGGAGATTAAGATGCGATGGTTAACGGTATCGAAGACCTTTGTGAGGTCCAATGCTGTTAAGATTGTTCGGTGAGCTGGCCTCTTCTGATTTAGGCCGTTTGCAATGTCGGTGACCATCGTGGTGAGAGCTGTTGTTGTACAATGAAGTGGGCGAAAACCATGCTGATGGCTCGCTAAGGTTAGGTGATTCGAGATGATCGGCAGAATGCATTTTTTAAATACTTTAGCTGCCGGACATAGAAGAGATATGGGACGGTATGAATTTGCGTCGTTAACTGGTTTGCCGGGTTTTAGTAGGGGAATAATTTTTGATTTCTTGTAAATTTCAGGAATCCTACAGGTTCGTAGTGATTCGTTAAAAATATTTGTTAGGAAGGAAATTCCCTTTGGGCCAAGGTGTTTTAGATGAAATATTGTCAGGTTGTCTGGTCCTGTTGCCTTGGACAGTTTGGAAGTTTTAATAGCTTCTATAACTTGGTTGGGAGTTAGTGTAGGATAGTCGTCAAGCGAAAATTTTTTAACGGCTTTGTTGGTGATTCTATTTAGTTTGTTTGATGAATGTTTCGTAGCTGATGTAAAAATTTTATTGAATGAGTTGGCTATTTGCAGGTTGTTGGTTAGTGACCTGTTGTTGAAATTAATAGCGATGTTGGGGTATTGAGTTGGTTTGCCGCTAAGAGCTTTTATGGTGCTCCAGAAGCGCTTGGTGTTGGTTATCTTGTTGAAAGTGCCCAGGAACTCCTTCCAACGCGATTGTTTTAATTTGTTGATTTTGTGTTGAATTATTGTTGATGTGGTTGCTATGTCCTTAGATGTTGGATCTGTAGCTCTGATGTCATCTCGTCTTTTCATTAGGTCGGTGATTTCTTTCGATAGACCTGGAGTACAGGAAATTCGTCTACCGGAAGGTATGTTGTGGTCACTTGCGTCCTGTAGAATACGACGAAACGATTTCTCGGCTGCTGTTAGGTTGGGAGGGAAGACTTGATTGGAAAATCCGGCTTCGGATTCTTTGGTGAAACCATCCCAGTTAGCTTTCGCGAAATTTATGAATCTGATTTTTGGGGGGTTAATATGTTGAATTGTTGTTTGTAAGCTGATGTGAATGGGTAGATGATCTGATGAGAGTGAGGTCATCGTGGACCATTCCATGTTAATGATCAACGTATCAGAATCGACAGATATATCTGGAGATGAAGGCTGGCCGGATGCTGGGAGATGCGTTGGGGTATCCAAGTTGAGTGTGCTGCAGCCAGAATTTTCGATTTCACTGGCTAGGGCTTCTCCTCGTGTGTCCTCTAGACTTGAATACCACAGTGGGTCGTGTGCATTGACATCTCCCAACAAGACGACATTTGGGATTAATAAAAATTTTGATATGGATGCTGTGAAACCTGTTGGGCAGGTGGATTGTGGGGGGATGTAAATGTTGATAATGTTGATATCTGTGTCGCTTGCGTTGATTGTGATGGCCTGACTCTCAATTGTTGGAACATCTGGTAATGACTTGATGCTGTAGGGAATGCTGTTGTGGATGAGTAGTATGAGACCACCTCCTCGACCTATTCCTCGGTCTTTGCGGTAGATAGCGTATTCTCTGAAAACCGGATTTTTTGAGCCTTTTGTTAGTTTGGACTCCTGAAGGGCTGCGATGTGGATGTTGTGATTTATGAGGTGTTGCTGAATCTCCTCTTGTTTGTTTTTTATGCCGTTACAGTTTAGTTGAAGGAAATTTAACTTTCCGGCACTTACTGCTTGTGATGTTGATGGTTTGTTGCGGGCTGAGCTGTTGAATGATGATGTTGAAGTTGGCCGCTGTGAGGCGCCAGCAGACGCCAACAAGCATCTTGAGTTTGAGGACGGGTGAGGACAGTTATTACAATAGTAATGACCGTTGATGTTTGTTAAGCAATTGTTGAGGTGATGCCAGTTGTAGTAGGTTCTGCAACGGGCCGAATATTGGGTTTTGTTTATCCTTTGATGGCATCCAGGGCAGATCCAGATCTTTGGGGGACCTGGATTTTCTTCAATTCCGGCTCTCAGGAGAAGGCAACGGAGCAGGACGGCCGGAATGGCCCGCTCCGTCGATGAAAACCCCGGGGAAACATCCAGGTGGGGAGGGTTTGTTGCAACTGTTTGTTGGATCGACTGATTTGACGGTCCAATTTGACGATCCACCGCGAGAAGGCAGTTGCTCCAGAGCCTGGTTGGTTTGGCTGGTTGGTTGGTTGGTTGGTTGATTGGTAGGGCGTTTAGTTGAATTTATTTTTATGTTTTGACTTTCTTATTTGAACGTTCAGTTCTGTTTTCTCTTTTCTTCCATATTACAATTTTTAAAGATTTTTGTTTCAATGAATACATTCAAGATAATTCTTTGAAAATCATCAGCACAAAATATATGACACTCAACAATCATCTATTTGATTGTGATGACATTTTTATACATCACAGAATTATAAAAAATTAAAAAATTATTTCTTGTGTTTTTTATCTTTTGAAGAATCTGAAACCTAACATTAATAATAACAAAATGTCAAAAAAGTAAATGATACGAAACCATTAAAAATTAATGATCTGAAAATTATGAGAGCTGATTAAAAAAATAGACTGTCTGTTTCAAACGCGATGATGATGTTTTAATGATAGGTAATGTTGTTGTTGATTATATTGATAATGTTTTTATGGTTATTATTATAATTGTTGTTGTCGTTGTTGTCCAGTTGGCGCTCTAGGCGAGGCTTGGGTCAGTTTGTCACTGCAACCAGGTTCCTCTTTAAATCTCTTTTAGACGCCTGAAATTTTTGGAACAGTTAAACAGAAGGGGGACATCGTCTGAATGTTTATGACAAAAAGGGCAGATATCGTTGTGTTTTCTGTCTATTTTTGCTCTGAAGCTGTTGAGAATAATGCCATAGCATGCTGTTTCACTGATAGCATTTGGCATTCCGAATGCAGGTGCTGTTCTGATGCGATAATATGACAGCCTGCGAAGGTTGGAGCCGGTTGAATCTGGTGTTGGACAGCAGCAGCGAGACCAGGCAGGACAGGCAAACTTGATTGTGGTGTGACAGATGGTTTTGTATGTCTGCGGTAGAGTTTTCTCGTTCTGGCCGAAATATTGATCTTTTTAAAGGCCCCGGAGATCATCAACTTGTGTTGCTGAGAGAAAGACAGCAGTGTTTTGAATGTCAGGCCTAATATTTCAAGATTGTGTTCTATCTAGTGACAGGAGCTGATTGTTGATTTTGATTTGAGGGTGATAATGGTATTGTGGTGTGTGAGATGTAAAAAGAGTGACTGTGAACTTGAAAGTGGAGATCTCTAAGTTTCTTTTATTGAAGAAGTCATGGAACTTTAGCAGGTAGCATTTGAGCCGGTGGTTCAAAATGTTTGCGTCTGGACCCGTTGTTTAGATGGAGATCGGCGTATGAGATTATTTTGATGTTTTTATTGTTGTTATTGTTGCTGCTGCTGTTGTTGTTATTACTGTTGTTGTTGATGTTGTTAGGGTTGCTGTTGTTGCAGTTGTTGTTGCTGTTGTTGTCGTTGTTGTTGGTGTTTGTGGGTATTGATCAAAATGATATTGTTATTGTTTCATACAACATGCGGGTAGGTAGCCAATGGATGAATGCCTCTTCAAAAGATTTAAAACATTCAATACATCGTTGAGGAGATGATGATGACGATGATAATGATGATGATGGCATAGATGACAAATATGAGTAAAAGGGTGAGTAGAAAATAAATATATCATCCTAACGAAGGGAGTGATGATGATGATTAAATAGGAAAAATAAAAATGAGATTACGATGGTGATGATGATTACGAAGGCGATAATGGTGATTAAAGCCATGGTAGATCAGTTTTTTCTTGAATGAGTAGATGTGATGATAAATGAATCAAATAACAATGATGATGATAAAAGTGTGATAATTTTAATAATGTCAACAAAGATTGAAGTGATGACGATGATGATGATGACGATGATGATAATATTGGTGACCACAATGGTTGTGACAAAATAATGTGGAAGATGATGATGATGATGGGGATGATGATGGTGGTGGTGATGATTATGATGATGGTTGTGGTGATAATGATGGTGATGATGATGACATTGATAACAATGTAGAAGATGGCAATGAAGATGATGGTGGTGATGATAATGATAATAATGATGGTGACGATGATGATGATGATGATGACGATGTTGATTATGAAGACGATGATGGTGATGACGATGATGATGGTGAAGACGATGATGATAATGATGGTGATGACGATGACGATAATGATGGTGGTGGTGGTGGTGATTTAGAATGATGGTGTTTATATATAAGATTGTTATTAATTTTTCTTCTGCTCACATCGGCGTATAGATAGATAACCGTTCATCAACTTGATGCTGTGAAAAGTATATTTTCATTTTTTTTACTTGCTTTTGTTTTTGTTCCCTTTACTTTCACCATCATCATCATCTCTTTATTTTCATCATCATCATCTCTCTATTTTCATCATCATCATCATCATTATTCCTCCACTTTCACCACCATCATCATCATTTTTCTACTTTCATCATCATCATCATCCCTCTGCTTTCACCATCATCATCATCTTCCTACTTTCATCATCATCATCTCTCTACTTTCCTCATTATCATCATCATCATCCTTCTACTTTCATCATCTTGTCACCATCTTTCTGTCTCTGCTCTTATCATTATCATCGTCACAATTGTATAGTTGTCATCATCATCTTCATCTTCTACATCATCATTATCTTCGTACGTCATCATCATCATCTTCGTCCTCATCATCATCATCTTCGTACGTCATCATCTTCATCTTCTGCATCATCATCGTCATCTTCATCATCATCAATCTGTTGTTGTCGAGTTTGTTGTTATGAGGCATGTTGTCATGGAATTCCTTGTTTTTTTTTGTCTCTGGCAAAATAATTACTGCTGGCGTTAAATCTTTCAGTGATAATGTTGTTGGAGTTTGCGTTGTTGTTGTTTTTTGTTGTTTGTTTGAAATGTTGTTGTTGTTGTATTTGGTAGTGGTAGTTGTTTTTGTTGTTGTTGCTGTCGTTCGTTGGTGTTGCTGCTGTTGTTGGTGATGTTGTTGATGTTGATGTTGTTGTTGATGTTAATGTTGTTAGTGTTGTTGTTGTTGGTAGTGTAGTTGTTGTTGTTAATGATGTTGTTTGTGTTGTTGGTGTAGTTGTTGTTGTTGTTGATGGTGTTGTTTGTTGAAAGTGTTGTTGTTGTTAATGGTGGTGTTGTCGTTGATATCGTTGTTAATGTTGTTGGTGATGTTGTTGTTAGTGTTGTCATGGATGTTGTTGTTGCTGATGTTGATGTTGTTGCTACTGGGGGTGTAGCGGTTGTTGTTGGCGTTCTTTGTTGGAAATGTTGTTGTTGTTAATGATGTTGTTTTTGATGTTGTTGTTAATGATGTTGATGTTGTTTGTGTTATGTTTAATGTGATGACACTTGTATTAAATGCTGGGCATGTTAATGTATCGATGTCGACGTGGTTTTTGTCAATTTTGTTAATGGAGATTTTTTTACATTTTTCGATACCTGACTTTACAATACAGTATGTGTGCGTGTGTTGCGTGTGTGTGCATGTATGCGTGCGTGTGTGTGTGAATGTATGTGTGTGTGTAGGTGTGTGCGTGTATGTATGTATGTGTGCATGTGTGTGACTATGTATTTATGCGTGCATGTGTGTGTGTGTGTGTATGTATGTGTGTGTATGTATGTATGTGTGTGGGTGCGTGTGTGTGTGTGTTATTACCTATCATTAATGCAATTAAAGAGAATAGCCATAAATAACGTAAGATGACAATGATGTTTGTTTTAATGGTGATGATGTTAATGATGATAAAAAGTATGACGTTGATGGTGATGATGATGATCTGGAAGGTGATGATGATGATGATCTGGATGATGGTGATAGTGATGATAATGAAAATGAGGATGATGTGAAGGTGATAATGTTGCACCGTTGATAATGATGATGAGGTCTACTTTGAATTATAGATACGACCGATCACACTAATGAATCAAGATTAAATTATGAAAACCACAAAAACGTTTTTCTCAGTACTTTTTGAAGTTTTATCATTCTTTTAATGTAATTTTAATATTAATTTGATGTTGATGTAACTTATCCAACATGATGTAATGGTCAGGCTGTTAATGTATTTAATATTGATGACATGAATGTTTTCAATGTCCCTAAAACATTCTGTTTGGTTGTTGACGTTGTTGATGTCATTAAATGTTTGTTGTTGTCGTCTGTCTCTAGCTGCAATGGAGCAGTTGTGCTTTATTTACCCGCTGCACTAAACTTCATGCATTCAGAATCACACAATCAGGAAAGCAGTTATAAATTGCAAAGATGTGTGCTCAATTGTTTCAGATGTGCTATCAAGATTGCTTTTGCTGATGTTGTTGTTTTTGTTGATGTTGCTGTTGCTGCTGATGTTATTGTTGTTGTTGCTGCTGATGACGATGATGTCATTATTTTTGTTGCCATTGTCTGTGATGTTGTTTATGGTGACGTTGCATCGCTGTGTTGACGTAATGTGCAATCATAAAAAGAGGCAGTTGTTATTGCTGTTCATTTTGTTTTTTTTTTACTGTTTTTTGTTTTAAAATGTTTGCAAAATTATTTCAAAATGAAAAAATTTGATACCTTGCTAAGAAGAGAACAACAGTAGAAGCCTTCTTGTGCTGTGTTTGTTGAAGTTCATACCTGAATGAGCGTCGATGAGACAGAGTTTAAACTAAATAATTGTTACATCTGGTTTTGTCATTGCAGGCGAATTCTCCAAAAATGTTTTTTTCTGATTTATGTGTGTGTTGTTTGTGCGTGTGTGTGCGAGTGAGCATGTGTTTGTGTGGGTGTATCTAAATATGTTTTGTTCAATCGTTGATTTTAAATTGAGCAAATTAATGCTATCCCCAAGTTCCTTAAAATAACTTCTTATTAGGTTGCAGAGAAAAGTTGCCGGCTTGCTACTTTCACGTGCGTTCTTTGTAGCTGTTGTTATCTGCTGTCGATTTCCAAATGAAATACTTTCCTTTACAAATTCGTCGGTAGCATCTCTATTGGCAGAGTTGTTTATTTGCAGTCTGCATTTATGACGTTGTCACTTTGTTTACATTATTTTGAAATCCTCGTTGCTACTGCTGCTGCTGCCGACACTGCTGTTGCTGTAAGCTTTTGTGCTTCTGTTGTTTGGTAGCAAATGCTTATTGAGTTTGTTACAATAAGGTTGCTAATGAATGTTTACTCTGCTTATTACAGTAATTTTGCTGGCAGATGTTTGTTCAGCTTTTTTGATTTTTATTAAAAAAAACTTCTGTTTTGTTTTCAAGAAAATAATTGCTGTCGTCAGCGATGCGTCACCGTTGACATTTGTGAACATTTGAAGGTTGTTGAAACTGGTTGAAACTTGTTGAAACTTGTTGAAATTTGTTGAAACTGGTTGAAACTGGTTGAAACTTGTTGAAACTTGTTGAAACTTGTTGAAACTTGTTGATCGTGGCATGAATGATAATGGTCAGCAACGTGGAAGGAGCGCAATCACTTCTTCGCTCCATCTCTCTTCTTCAGGTCATCTCCCACCATCAATTTATTCACGACATGTTCCTCTTCTGAAATGTCTTGTCATGTCCACTTCTCCGATTTATAAAAACTTTTCTTCTTATCTAGTTTAATATGTGTGTGTTGAGTGTGTGTAGTCTGTGTGTGCGTGCTTATGCGTGCGTGTATGCGTATGCGTGTGTGTGCCAGGAGTGTGCGTGGTGACTTTTTCTAGCGCATTTGGTTTAAAAATACATATTAAATTATGGTTAGTGTTTATGTTGTATCATATTTTATTCCTTTGTAGTAGTTAATTATTTTGTTCTTCTCAAAAAACACGAAAGAGTGTTGTCTTTTTGATAGTTTGTTTCAGTTTTGTGTTTATATTGCTAACTGTATGTGATACTTGCATGGCTCGCATGTTGGCTCAAAGATATTTCAACCAACAGGAAAAGCCATAAAAAATTAAACTCATTAGAAATTACCAACCTGTTAAAGATTTTATTTTTTTCAGCAATTGATTGCTAATTATTAGTGGTGAGCAGAGCAGAAGCAATAAAACTTCAATAAAATTAAATACTTTGGAAAAACTCGGTTAGTGAGATAACTGTTGATTTTAAATCACTATGGAAGTGTCTTTTAAAAAAAATTACTGGAGCGTGAGCATAAATTTTTATTTTTGATTTGTAAAATTATTCTATTTTCGAGTAGCTTTAATTAAAAATGTTTTTAAATGTTTTTTTGGCGCAAAATTGCAATTGGATGGTATAACTGCTGAAACTTTTGTTGTGTTCTAAATCGATTCAATACTTCACCACTCGATTGTATTACGCTTAGAAATAATAAACCAAAAACTGGGACTGAACATTTTTATAAGGACAAAAGTCAAGATACCAGACAAAAAAAATAAAAAAGAACAGCAAATCATGATAAAAAAAATAAAAAAGAAATATTTTTCTTCATTTATTTCATGCTCGATTGATTCGGAGGTTACATGTTTGATGGATTGTTAGCTCATGCTGACGATACAACCTTCCTATGCATGCGCATGACACGCGTCCAATTTTGCCTTCATTTTCTTACCTCATGAGCATTAAAGGAAATTTATTCACGAGTATCTTTTCAATAACAATACTTAATATAATTTTGTCGTATTGTGTCAGTTATTTCAATTGATTAAAAAAGTAATTTGAAATAAAATTATTTTCAACGTTTGTATACTCAATTACTAACACATTAAAAATTTTATAAGCATTGTCACAGATGCATTTTTGCAACACAAACACATTTCTAGATGGGGATTTTTCAAAAATTTAACGTTGACGCAAAAGTTATTAAGTAGTAGTTAAAAGCAAATAAAACATCCGCAAAAGTCTGTTGAGTAACAATTGATAAGATGCCATCTAGTTCATCATTGCTACATCAATGTTCGTCTGAAATACTTGCTGAAATGTTCGTTCATTTTTTGGCCGATGAATAATTGAATTCTCTTTGATGTTTTTATTCCCTCCTTCATTTTTCACCAGTAAATTAAAAATTACAATGCCTCCTCCTACAATTTTATGGCTCAGCAAGGAATTGAAACCAGGATTTCAAATATAAATTTATTCTGTCTTAGAAATTTCTAAAATAAAATTCATCTACCTATATATATATATATATATATATATATATATATATATATATATATACTTGATTAGTAGAAAAGTAATTTTTATTTAAATAAACTGTTTGTACAAGCTCTTATTAAATAATTTTTAAATATACCTAATGATCTATAAAACTTAATTAATATTTTACACAATATTTCAAAACATAAAAATTATTAACCAATTACTTAAATACGAAAAATAGAAGCACAAACTAACAATAACCACGAAAGTATTATCCAAATGCACGTAGAGAATTTATAAATAATAACAATGCGTTTGTTTTTTTTACAATTTCAAAAGAGTAAATACCAACTACACTGCAGTTCATCAGAAATGCAATAAAGTTCTAAACACGATATTTATATGCAAATGAGATAAGCTTTTATTTTTGAATTTGCGGCACAAAAAACTCCAGCCCGACCCGCCGATACATTCGTCCAAATGTTCAGAACAATCGGCCCAACAATGAAATAAATTCAAGAACTTGCATTCACTCAAAGCTAGCCGCCATTAATTCAGGGCCGCTCTATCAGTCGTAAGCGCTGTGCCTAGGGCCTACAAATTTCTGAAGGACCTACGAAAGCCAAATGAAAACAAAATGTTAATTAAGAAAAAAGAATTGCACGACGGATTGACGATAAACAAAGAATGTGAAGCGTATCAGGAAAAGTTAAAAATATTCAACATCATTACAAAAAAATATTCAACATCATTACAAAATATTCAACATCATTGCAAAATATTCAATATCATTACAAGATATTCAATATCATTACAAAATATTCAATATCATTACAAGATGTTCAGTATCATTACAAAATGTTCAATATCAATAAAAAGTATTCAATATCATTACAAAATGTTCAATATCATTACAAAATGTTCAATATCATTACAAAATGTTCAATATCATTACAATTTACTTATTTTGAGGCAGAATTTCATTAGCTTTTCAAAGTTAAGATGATTTTGTTAGTAACTAACAACAGCGAATGAGACATAATTACCGATTCATAATTATTCTTGAACTATTTTTTCTAAGGTCGTTTCAATTTTTGTAAGGTCATTTCAATATTTTGAGCTTTTCAATAATTACCACAGAAACAAAGTTTGACAAAACTTTCCAAATTATTGCTTTTTTTATTTTTTTAGCCCCCAATATAGTTTATTTTTAAACTTCTGCAATGGATTTTAAATCATTTGGAATAATTAGCAAGAAAAGTCATTTCCCACATACTTTTTACTCTCAGCCGCCATCTTTCTTCACATGCAACAGAACGTTGATAACCCGTCGAGACCCACCATACACGAGCAACAACACCAACATCAACAGTCTTCACAAACAACAAACATGTTAACGCCTACAAATAACACATCAGCACTCAACGACATTCACAAATTTGCGAGCGCACACTCGACAGGAATGTTTAACCATGTACAAGTCTTCAATGAAATCGAAATTCATTCCGATCAATCATTTGTATGTATTTGTATGTATTAAATGTATTCATAGTCCCAGCTTCAATCCACGTACGCAAATATTCACTTACATGTTTGTTCGTTTCCTTCCGGTTTCAAAATTCGTCCTTGCACGTTTGAGTGTGTGATTGTTAATGTGTACGTACATGTACAGTACACGTCGTACGCTATTTAGTGCATGAATTAAAGTGTGTTACACATTTTTTTGTGATTTTGCACCAATTCAAGTTTATTTCTGGAATAAACAATTTTTGAATTTATTCTAAGTAATCTGAGTTATGTTACGAAATGTATTAAACATTTTATTTACAGTTTTGCTGTCCTGCAAACAATTTTTTTGAAGTGATTCAAATATTTTCAATTTAAAAAACACTTTTTTGACAATTATTCAATCAAACTTCTGGAAAAACGGATAACAAAATTAAGAAACAAACACGAACATTTAATAATATTGATTTATTATCTTAATTTAAAGCAAGAAAAACATTACAGCGTAAGACCCGTGGACCCGTGCGGATCATGTCAGCGTTTGAAAGGTTGCCAGACCGGCACTACGGCATACACATCAAGTATTTTTTAATTCAATTGATACTTCTTACTAAGAAATTTTGCTGGTTACAAAAATATAAATGATTCAACAAGAATGTTTTCTTTAAATTCTTAGAATTTTTTGAAATTCTCTAGGTCGAAGTTTTTTGTGGACGGTATAAGCAGTTGCCTTTTACACTTGATCTGTAAAAAGTTTGCTCAAATTACAAAATTTTAATAGTTTATTTGTTTTAAATAAAATAAAAGTTCATTTGCTAATTGAATAATATGGCTAAAATGGCACTTTAACCTTGCTGTCCCACGTACTTACACGCAATCATGTAGGCCTAGATAGGCATACACATCAACAACGCATATTTGACGTATGAGGCGTTTAAATTGTCAGAGAATAACCAGCCACGTTTATATGCTGTAGTTTGATAGGAGCGAGTTGGATTAAAAAACAACATTGTTATTTGCACATGACAAATTTATGACAAATCTCCAAGCATAAAATCGAAAAATTTCTTCCTACTTTGCGACCAGGCAATGAATTCCACGTCAACCACTTTGAAAACATTTTGCGATCTTCATACTTCTAATTCTTCCTTTTAACAAATCTTGTTTCTTATATTTTTTTATCATATATTTTTTAAAGTGTGTGTATGTACATGCATGTATGTATGTATGTGTGTGTAGTTGTACTTGTGTGTATTTGTGTGTATATAAGCAATGACACACCTTATATACACAGAGACACGCAGACGTGATGATATTTAATCGAAGTAAATGTTTTTATGCACTGTGAGATTGTTCATGTACTGGCGCGTGTTAATGGGAACACGTCTGCTCACTGACGTGTTTATATACTGATGCATGCACCGATATATGCACTGATGCAGGCACTGATGCAGGCACTGATGCAGGCACTGATGCATGCACTGATACATGCAATGACGCATGCACTGACGCATGCACTGATACATGCATATTTGTATACACCGATGTTATAGTACTGGTTTGTGCAAACTGGTGTTTATTTTATTGTACATATGATAAGAATGCAGATGATTACTATTTCAATCTTAAACTGTCATTCTAAAATGTAACATGTAAAGAGTGCATTCAAGTATATTTTGCCATTCAAGTATATTTGTGAAAATATGAGATATTAATATGAAAACCAGATAAAAACAGCCATTTTAATCCACGAGTTATATTGTTTGACACCTTTGTAATTTATAAATATTTTATATTCATTTTCAAACATTAGGTATCTAACAAGTTAATTCAATAAGATCAACTCTCTTGTTGATTTAAAAACAAACAACTGGCTAAAATGAAAAGATATCATTAAAAAAGAAAACTTCTCTAAAACAAAATGTGAAAATTCAAGGCTAATATAAGAATATTCAACGTATAAATCAAGAAAAAATTTAAAATAAATGCATCGCTTACGTTTTGACGTGAAGATTCTATAATACCTCGTCGTTCAACTTATATATTAATATTAGTTTTGTTTTGTGAAAATTTATTAAATAAATTTAGTTAGATCAATTTTGAAACAACAGAAAATTCGAAAAACTGTGAAATAATGTAAAAGCCATAAATCTCTATCCTTGCCCACTCGAGTAACATTTAACAGATATCAAACGCGTATAAACATTCACGAAAAGATAATAAAACATAATAATCAAGTCAGGGAAGGTAGTCCCTCTTCGAAACCCCGTTGGGCAAATTTTAAAGTTGATCTAAATTTTTCTATATTTCCATATAAAATGATAACATAACATATACATATCATTTAGAGAAAATAAAGGTACGAACTTTTGCTCCTATTCCTCTAACATACTTTAATATACAGTGCACCTCAAATTAAAAGAATAATAGTAATGTTAAAAAGTAATAATAATAATAAAGTTAATGTTCTATGGTTTACGTCGTGATATTTTCGCTCGTTGTAAAAAATTCGAAAATTTTGCATAAATTTCTTATTTTAAACAAAGTGTACTGTGATATTAATTAAATAAATTAAATTTTTGTTCTGTTTACATAGGTTAAAAAAAAAGACTAAAGAAATGGGTTCGGAATTAAAGACCACGGAAGATTTCGGATTGAAGCTTTGTGAAGAGTGTCTTCAATGCAACAAAGATAAACTGCACTAGCTTATTATAAAGGAAAAACCAGGAAATCTAGATTCAAATTTAGCAACAAATCTGGCATCTCTGAATGCTGAGTTGTCAACCCAGACTCAAGTTATCATCTCTAAACTGAAGTCCTTGGATGCTGCCATTGGCCTACAAAATAGTAATTTCAATGAATTTAGGATGAAGATAGATAATTTTTCATACTCTTCCATGAAGATTCTGGAGGAGAATGAAAAAGTTGCCAAGACAAAAGTTGAACAGAATGAGCAGGAAATAAAAAAATATTCAGATGCGGTTAAAGGAAAAGTTAATAAGTTGTCATTAGATGTCAAACAGGTACAATAAACAATTGTTGATACCTCATCTAAAATTGAATTTCTAAATGACAGAGAAAAGAGGAGAAATAATGTGATCCTATATAATTTGCAAGAAAAAGGGGTTAACACAAAAGAGGTTGTTAAAAATTTATTGAAAGAAATATCAGAGATTGATTTAGAAACAGAGGGAACTGAAATTTCTAGACTGGGCAGAAAAATGGAAGATGATCAAAAATCTAGACCAGTTTTGATTCAGTTTGCAAACATAAATACCAAAAATTTGTTGCTTGCAAATTGTTACAAACTCAAAAAATCAGCAATTTTCAACAAAGTAATCGTCAATCATGATCTTTCCAAAGAAGAAAGAAGTAACAACAGAAAACTTTTGGAAGAAAAAAAGAAAGAAATAAGTGCCAAAGAGGACATAACAAAATAATCATTCAGGCTCAAAGGAAAACCAGGTGATTTTTATGTGGTTGCTGTTAGAAAGCAAAATTTAGAGATACAAAAAATTTAAGTCAGACAAATTTGAAACATTTAAGAATTATGATGTCCAATGTAGATACTTTGTCTAATAAGTTTGGAGATTTACAATCCTTGTTGGGAAGTTTAAAATGTTCACCTAATCTAATTGCCTTAATGGAGGTGAATCCCAAAAATTTTAAAAATAATAGAGTTTTGTCTGAATACAATTTGCAGGGGTACTCATGTTTGGCATCTGGATTTTCTGATGTTGGTAGAAGGGGACTTATGCTGTTTTTTAAAAAGTCTGTGTTGGTTTCAGAAGTTAATATGGTCTCAAAATTCAAAGAATATATGACAGTGAAGATTTGCATTTCTGGTAGATTTTTAAATATTCTGTTTGTATACAGAAGCCCCACATCCATTGTTGAAAATAACATTCACCTATTAACACTGATTAATGATGGTCTAGCATTGCCAGGTGATTTTTTAATGTTTGGGGATTTCAATTTACCTGAAATAGACTGGGATACGTACAGTTGCAGTGGAGGTGAAGAGAAATTTGAAAACAAATTTTTAGATATCTTTAAAAATAAATTTTTGTTACAACACATTAACCAGCCAACAAGATTTAGATTTGGTCAGTCTGCAAATATATTGGACTTAGTGATTTCATCACAAGATTTTGTTAAAAACATGAAAATTTATTCATCTCTTGGAAGCAGTGATCACTCTGTGGTTGAATTTACGATTGCTGGTTTTGGACGTTTAACAGATATGAACTTGAAAAAGTTTGGCTTCGATCTAGGCGATTACAATGGTTTGAAGTCGGCTCTGTTACCATCAGTGATTGATGTGTTTACAGAGGATAGAAATTTCGAGGATGACTGGAAGATTTTTAAAGATAAACTGAGTTGTGGTACAAATGAATTTGTTCCAAAGAAAAGAAGAAACGTTGATTTCAAATTTAAAATGACCAATGATTTAAAAGTTTTGATAAAGCAAAAGCATGTAATTTGGAGGTTGATTTATAGATATGGAGAAGATAAAATTCAAGAATTCCGAACAATCAGAGACAAAATTAAAAAACATACAAAGTTGAGAAAATTGCAGTCGCAAGAAAAAATTGCTCGTGCATATAAAACCAATCCTAAACTGTTTTGGAATCACGTGAAAAAAGTAACCAGATGTGATGAGGTTGCTAGTCCATTGACTGATTCTAAGATGAAAGCTGATGCATTTGCTAACTTCTTCTACTCTGTGTACAGAGAGGATACTTCTTTTGATGATAATGATACTTCTTTTTATTTTGACTCCACTGATGAATTATCCCCAATGGCTGATTTGCTTATTGACGAAAGCATGGTATTGTCAAAACTTGAAAAGCTAAATACAAGCAAATCAGTAGGTCCGGATGATATACACCCACGAGTTCTATGGGAATTAAGGAAGTCAATCTGCTCCCATTTAAGTAGACTATTCCATCGTTCAGTTGATGAAGGCATTGTGCTGCAGGATTGGAAGCTTAGTCATGTCGTTCCTCTTCATAAAAAAGGCCGTAAGGATCTGGCTCAAAATTATCGTCCGATCGCATTAACTTCAATTTGTTGCAAGATTCTGGAATTTATGATAAAAGATCACATTATAAATTGTTTTATGGAGAATGATTTATTTTCCAATGGCCAGTTTGGATTTATACCAGGTCGTTCAGCAGTCTTTGAGGTTTTTGGAGATCATCACTGAGGGATTGGATCATGGTTATGAGGTTGATGTGGTTTATATGGATCTTGAAAAAGCGTTTGACAAGGTTTCACACAGCCGGTTACTATTCAAGCTCAAACAGTACGGTATTAACAACAAGCTACTAAATTGTATTCAGAACTATATCAGTGGTAGGTCGTTTCAAGTAAAGCTTGATGGTACATTATCGGATCAGAGACCGGTTTTAAGTGGGGTTCCCCAAGGTGGGGTTCTGAGTCCGCTATTGTTTCTAGTTTATATAAACGATTTATCCTCTGTTTGTGACAATGTTCTGCTATTTGCAGACGACTCAAAAATTTTCAAGGTAATAAAAAGTGACGAAGATAAAATCATCTTTTCTCAGGATATTATAAAAATGGTTGATTGGTTTAGTAAATGGAAGTTAAATATAAATGTCAATAAATGCCAAATGTTAAGGTTTGGTTGCAACAATTCAGGTAAACCAGTCACTATTGTAGACTGCAACGGACTGCCCTTTCGTTTTCCAGAGGTTGATGAGATATCAGAACTCGGAGTGATCTTTGATGCCAAGCTTAGGTTTAAAAGCCAAATCTTGAAAATTGTTCATAAAGCTAACTCCATGTTGGGGATTGTTGCTAGAAACTTCAAGAATTTATCAGAAGAAGCTTTTGTTTTGTTGTATAAGTCGTTGGTGAGGTCTCAGTTGGAATATGGTGTTCAAGCATGGAAACCTTACAAAATTGGTTTAATTTTAGAAATTGAAAAAATCCAAAAAAGAGCAACACGTTTGGTTAATTCCTGTAGGTCTCTTCCTTATATTAACAGATTAAAGAAACTTACATTTTTCTTTAAAGTAAAATTGACAAAGAGTTAGTGCTAGAAATAACATTCATCTGTGATTAATTTAACTGAAATGCATTTTCTATTACAAAAGCCACTAAATGACATGAAAATATCTACCGGAACACCTACTTTCAGATGAATAAATTTATAGATTTGCCTAAAATTTGTTTGTTCCCTGAGGCATTTTTTTAAAATTTATCCAGTACAACAATATGTAAGCGCATGAGTGTGTGAAATTACTCACGGGGACATTAGCAAATCAGTTGTTGCATGATGAAGCAGGCTGGGTGATGAACCTGTTTGGAGGATTTTAATAGATGCCTGTCATATTTTGGAGTGACGATGAAATGACACGGTGTTCTCAGCTGTGGTGTGGTTGGATGTGGTGTGGCTGGATGTGGTGTGGTTGGATGTGGTGTAAAGTGTGGTGTGGTGACCTTTCTTGCTCATTTATCATATGTTTATTTAATTATTGAAAATTTAGTAAAAATTTTGCGAAATGAGAAAAAAAATTTAATATTGAAGTTAACAAAATAACTAACTTAATATCAACTTGAAAAATGTAACTTAAATCAATACAACAAACATATTGACATTAATAATTATTTAAATCAGCAGCGTTTTGTTGATCAAACATAAGCAACAGTACTATATATTAACAACACTGTTATATGTAACTACAGTACTATATATAACACAAATAGCATAGCAATATTAGTACAACTTTACCACTGGCCCAATAACAACGACAAATATTAACGGAACTATATAACAAAAATTAAAATAACGTAAAAAAACAAAATAATATAACATATGAATAATAGATCTTAGAACAATAAAACTTAGCATCAACAGAAACAAAATCAACTCAACCACAAACGAAAAAAGCAGCATCAACTTAAAAACAAGGAAAAAAATATCGATACCAGAAAAGCGTTAAAAACTGTACAACATTAGCAAAACATCAGTAAAATATAGATACCGTATCTGAATTAGCAAGACATCCAAAAACATCAACAAAAAACTTTAAGAAAGCATCAACAATACATCAGAAAAACATCAACAAAACATCAGAAAAACATCAACAAAGCATCAACTTAGTAGTAGCACAACGCAAAAGATAGCACGCGATAATGAAACACGCAATCTGAAAGACACCATTGTTTTAATGTCATCATTATTATTATTGTAATGATTGTAATTATTGTTTCAAATATTGTTATTGCAATATTTTATTGTATAACAACTGTATTGTTTTATGATAATGTTATTGTAGGTTAATGTTATTTGAATAATAGTATTATTTGTATTTCAAAGTTATTGGTATTTTATTTTGAAAGTTAATGTTATTTGTATGTTAATGTTTCTTGTAAGTTAATGTAATTTTGTGTTAATGTCATTAGCGTATTAATGTTATTGTATGATAAATTTATTTATTTGTTAATGTTATTTGTATGGTAATGTTTTTTGCATGTTAATTTTGTTTTCATGTTAATGTTATTTGCATAGTAATGTAGTTGATGCAGCTGAAACTTCTTCTTTATTACTATATATTCAACATACCATCTTACATATGAAGTATGCCAGTGGTGAACATGTTGTGTTTGCAGTTTGTTTGGTTTTCTGCATTTTAGAAATGTTTTGGATACATTAGTATATACTCTGAGTGTTTTTTCAATCATAATATATTTATTTCAAAATTATTGCCGATAAGTAGGCCTAGAAATAAGGATGCTTGTTAGGGTTGAGATATTTTGTAAAAAAATTTAAACTTCAGGCAAATAAAAAAATTTTAAATTTTATTATTTTAAGGAAAACTTATATTCTAGAAAAATGACAAAACTGACGGCAGGTCTTTAATAGAAAATAAATTAATACAACCTTAAAAATCCTTGCGTCAAAATTTTTCAAAATGGTAAACTTTATACATATTTATTTTTATACAATTATAAGACGAATTAATTGCTTGACGAGTGAATTTGAGTTAATTTATTCGATAGGTGACGACGATTTTTTTTGTTTTGCAATTTAGATGACGTCATAAATTATTACAAATTATTTTAAAATTTAATTAGTAGTTTTTTTTATTAATTGGACATACCTTGGAAATTTTTATGTTTTAAAACACCCGAAACAAAATCTAATTTTGCTTTGATAAGGAATGGTGTGGAAGTGGAGGAGAGGCTGGGTTGACTAGTTAGGCAGCTTCGAATAATCGGTGCCTGTTCTGGTCCCTAAGAGACTTAATACGTGATTCTATGCTCATTGGCATAGTTTCAGGAACGTCCTAAGTTCTCAAAAGTGGATTTCGTACAAGACTCTATGCTCATTGGCATAGTTTCGCACGCGTACTAAAGTCACACAATTTGTTTCTAGTGTTGTTCTGACTCTTGTTGTTTTGTGTTGGTC